ATGCTTGCAGCTTTCCAAAGGCTGGCTGTCAGGTGATAGGGCTTGTTTTAGATGGTAGGCAGGATAGGTTATATAGATTGCCCCAGTGGGCATGGGAGGTGAGGGGGATTATGGGATATCAGCACAGGACACAGAAGTCAGAGAAGAGCTGCAGGTCTCCTTACTAGAAAGATGTCTGTGGAGGCTCTGAGAAAAGAGATTCTCAAGAGAAAGGATTTGAGGAGACATCAAGCTGAGATTTTCCTTTCTCTGTACCAATGGCCTTGCCACATTCCCCTCAGCCATATCATCGTCTACATAGACAGCATGTGCCACCCTGCTTATGACCCTGCTTGTGTAAAACCTGTTTGCCTGGAGAGTGCAAACTCTCTTAGAAGAAAGGATTCTTTTGTTTGCTTGATTTTGAGACAGGGTCTCCCCATATAGTGCTCACTGTATAGATCAAGCTGGCCTCCATCTCCACCTGCCTCTGCTTCCCGAGTGCTGGGAGTGGTGGCACATGCTTTTGATCTGAGCATTCAGGAAACAGAGGCAGGCAACAGCTGGTTGGGGAGAAACTTGGGGACAGCATGACCTTCCAGAATCAACTAAGTACGTGTTACTAAAGAGGCTCAGGGAGAATCATGGACTGGTCAGCCTCCCTCCTCACACATGGTGTGCACAGGATTCCAGACATTGGATAACAATACCTGCTGCAACTGTGTGCTTTCTGTGCAGGTTGGTCCAGGCTGAGGTTTGAGCTGCTTGCTGTCAGAAGAGCTCTCTCTCTCTCCTCTCTTCCTTCCTCTCTCTCCCTCCCCCCTCTCTCTTTTTGGATCAGCATGGGATGAGGTGGTGGTTGGGGGAGCCTCTTTGCTCCCCCCTTTGCTGCCTCTCTTCATTGGTGCAGCTTTTGTGTATGAAACTAAATAAATGTTAAAAAAAAAAAAACCTTTTTAAGTGTCATGGTTCTTGGGGTCATGATGCTGGCAGGGTCTCTAAACACATCTCTTCTGCGTGTGGCTTCGGCTGGGTTCTGGGTGGTCCTAGCTGAGATACTGGGATTAGAGACCTTCTTTTTCCAGCAGAGTAAGAGGCTTCTGATGTGGCAACCCAGGGCTCCCAAGAACATTAAAAGTGGAAGCTGCCAAGATTCCCAAGATTTATGCTAAGGTTGGCAGCATGGCTCTGCTGCCTAATTCCCAGGGGTCCGTCCCCAGTGAAGGGGAGGGCCCAATTTTCTAGAGTGTCACATTTGGGTTGGGCTATTATGAATAGCACACTTCTAGCTGGGTCTAGGAAGAGAACCTGGCCACCTGCCCTAACATCAGCTTCTAATGACCTTCCCTTCCCCAAAGGTATTGTTTTATGCCCATGGGCCTTTAATTTTCTCTTTGCTGATCCCTCTGTCGTCTGTCACAATAGTGGCTCTCTTTTGGACCTAGAGTCTGAACCCAAAACCAGGAATGCCCATCAAGGTGAACCAGGAGTAGTAGTTAGTTTCAGGCAGGCAACTGCTTGCTGTCAGAAGAGCTCTCTCTCTCCTCTCTTCCTTCCTCTCTCTCCCTCCCCCCTCTCTCTTTTTGGATCAGCATGTGTTGTGTTGGTGGTATGGGGAGACTCTTTGCTCCCCACTTTGCTGCCTCTCTTCATTGGTGCAGCTTTTGTATGGTAACTGTGGTGACAGTATTCCCACCTAGGGGCCTGGAGAATTGGCAACTATAGTTACTCCAGTCCCCTTGCCAAAAGGCCATATGCAATGGGCCAAATACTGGCTGTGAGGTGAGCAGCTGCTGGAGGGAGGAGCTGAGACTGGGGTTGGGAAGGGGCATGTTTCTGAAGTCACTACCCCTGGTCCCCTCCCTCCTTCCTCTGGGTCAAGCCAAAACACATCACGAGCAAGGTCACCAGACAGACCAGGCAGGGCTCCCCAGATCACAGAGCTGCCTTCCTCAAGGCCTCTAAGTCAGGACCACCCCAGCTGGCACAAAGGGACATTGCCTTTCTGACTCTAAAGGGAGAAGTCACCAGGAGTTGCCTGCTATGTCATGGCAAAGGAGCAGGGATTAGCTTGAAGAGACAAAAGTGACTGTGTGAAGACATGAGAAATGGCATTCTTTAATTCATAAATAAAAGCATAAAATTACCAGAAATAGTTTACAGAGCCAACAAAGAACTTCAAAAATAAAACAAGATGAAGCCGTCAAGAGCAAAGCAAACCACAAACAAGGGAGAGAAAAATAACTATGTACATAGTCTTCAAAATGCCAGTCCCTCAGAAGCCAACCTCTGCCAAGGGCTCCAGAGTGGTCAAAGGGGAAAGCAGGTACCACTGAGGGGTGCTGTGGTCTCTTATGTGGCATCTGAGGAGAGCTCAAGTCCTAGGGAAATCTCTGGTCCAGCTTGGCTTTCCCTTGGACATCTCTCTCACAGGAGACACAGCCAGGCTGGAGCCAGGGACAAAAGGAACAGTAAGCATCTCCTAGAGGAGAGACAGCCAGTCCTCCAAATGGTCCCCTGCTGAAGCTCAAGGGTACCTAAAGAGAATAGAACTGAGCAAGGAGGTGCTGGGCCTTGCAAGACCTGAGGCAGGCCCTTCTTGTGGAGCTGGTATTTTTCTTTCGGAGAACAGCAGCATTCCCAGACCAGATACCTCTGGGGAACAGCATGGTTCTGAGAGACAAACCATGGCAGGCTACTTGTGTGTCCCGAACCTACACATCCCAGTCCCCAATGGCTATTCAATCTGAGCCTTCCAACATGGGCATGGACCACAGAGAGTGAGGATACTTTAGGACCTAGAGGGAAAGAAAGCCCACAAGGTGGCAAGGGTTACAGCACAGTTGCCTCTTGGAGTTATCCTGGGGTCTGGGGCTGTTAGCAATCTTGGATGGATATCTGCCACCTTGATTATTGGACAGGTCCCAGACAGAGATCTCAAAGATTACCTGGGGCAGGGCCACTGGGCCGTGATGTGGGCAGAACTCCCTGTGAGTAGAAGGCACCCCGCCTTCTACTAGACTAGAGTGCAAGCTTTGTGTCTGTGAGCCTGGCCCAGGCATGGCACCCACTTCTTTCTGGACAAGGAATCCATGGCACAGCACTGGGCTTCTGGCTGTTCTTTCAGGAGGTGGAGTCCTCCAGTCTAGGGAGGGGCAGCTAACCCCCATCTTGTGCTCCCTCTGTTGGTCAGTCTCAGGGGGAAGAAGGGCTCAAACAAGGCACGGACTGGTAGAGAACAAAGGACTGAGGGCCATGAATTTTTTTTTTAAACTGGGCTATGAATGATGCCCAGTAGAGGGCAAGTGGGGGATGTCATCTTTGACCTGTAAATTCCAGGTTTAAATTGAATGTGTGACTAGGGGCAATGGTAGACCAGAGAACAGGGTAACATTGGAGGTCAGCAGGAGAGGCCAAGCCTAACCCCAGGGTCAGACAGCAGAGCCATCTACAGGGGAGGCACCTAGCCTATAGACACTAGGAAGGGAAGAAAGCCCATGGAAAGACAAGATCAATGGGGATGGGGTCCACCCAGGGACTCTAGGGGCCAGCATTAGGGAGGTAGAACTAGAGTTAGTTTCCAGACCGCCAAGCACACAGACCCTCCCTTATATATCCTATCCCTTGGGTCCCGCCCACCAGGCAAGCACATGGCTCAGGAATCCAGCAAGGGCTGAGTGGCCTACCGACAACAGCTGTGGTAAGAGCCAAAAATAGAATATGGAGCAGCCTGGCTGCCTGCTTAATCTGGCTTGCTTTGGAAATACAGAATGGGAGGGGGAGGGAAGAAAAGAAGATAATTCCTTGAACCAAGCAACTGTACTTCCCTCTGCCCCTAGCACTGGATATCTTCAAAAGACAAGTCCCACAGGTTCACATGTTGTTCTCTATAGACTGAATCTTTACAGTGTGGGGCTCCACGTAGAAGGAGGCAGCTTTGTGTGTGTACCCTGTATCTTACCCCCTACCCTGGACTGCAACCCACTCGGCACTGGTGACCCTTCCCAATCTATGAAAAGTCATAACACAGCTCTGAAGATACTATAGGGGAAGAGATGTTGCTGGCTAGGGCTACAGGCAAGGGAGGCTAATGCCCAGCTCCCACACACACTATCTAAGTGGATGGGTTATTCAGATCAAGAGTCTGACATTCCGGGTGGGGGCAGGGGCAGGGGAACATTCCATATTGGCTGCTGGCCAACTGAACCATTCAGGGAAGCCCCTGGGGCCTTGGCCTTGGCTGGACCAAGTAGAAGGCTGGGAGTGCCCAGGAACAGCTGGGAAGCTATGCCTCTTGTCATTTCCATGCATCCCACTGGGGACCCCAATATCTATGGCTTTAAAAAGAGTGACCGCTGAGAGCAAAGGGGTTGTGCAGCTCAGTTTAGACTCTGGATCCCAATGTCTGCCACGAATCTCTCCCTTCACTTCTCACTCTGACCTCTGGAAGACCTGTGACAGTTCTGTAATGCAGGATGGTCCACCCACCCCCCTCTTCCTATGGCTTGCTGGCTAAACTGTGTGGCAACCCAACCCCTCCACCTCCAGTCAGAAAAGATCAGGCTGTAGCAAAGAGTATCCAAGGCTTCTGGTTACACATGGCTTCTTTCTATCTCAAGGCATCCCAATATGCCTAGGGGATGACAGGGATTTGGGGATGACAGGGAAGATGTTTCTGTCCTTGGGTGGCCATTTGGCCTGTATGGCAGTTGCCCCACTCTCTGCTGGAGTGCCTTTCTCACTACTCTGAATGATACCAAAGTTGAGAGAAACATTAACCAGTCCATGGAGTTCCCTGAACACATCTCCAGGAGAGTTTGGGGTTCAGAGATCGAGGTCCAATAAGCAGCAGGGTAGTTAGACTGAAAAAGGCAAGAGGGGAGGAAAGGCTATGTGGTAACCCCTACCCACCACTGGGGACTCCTGAGTCTGGGCTCCAGAGCTGACCTCTCTTGGAACAGGCTCAGCCTTCCCTGTCAGCTGGGATCCAGTTCCCAACCCTCCATCCCCTAGGCAGCCCCTCAGATCTCAGTGGCTATGATGTCCTCATAGGGAATGTCAGCTCCCTCCAGGTCAATTTCAAAGGGCTCCACGGCACCATCCCCACGGGCCAGCTGCTGCAGGGCCTTCTCTAGACGCTGGTTGCGCTGGTACATGGCCAAATAGCTCTGTTGCAGCTGCTTTTGGTACTGGATCACTTTCTCCTTCTCTTCCTTCCACACCAACCGCTCATGCTGGAAGCCTGAGGACATCTGGTCATGGCCTTGCCTCTCCTCCTTCAGCTCAGCCCGCAGCCGCTCCAGCTCCCGCTGCAGAGCAGGGATGTCCTCTGAGAAAGTAGGCCCAACCCCCAGGGGCCCCAGGGATGTAGCTTCTCGATGCAGGGCAGCCTGGGCCCGCAGCTCCAGCAGCTCCTGCTCCAAAAGGTTCACCTTCTCTCGCAGCAGCTCTGCCTCATTCTTCTTGCGCTGCAGTTCGTTCTCACAGACCTCCAGCTCCAGCCCCTTGGTGCGCAGGGCACTCTCTAAGTCCTGTGTCTTCAACTCCATGCTCTCCAGCTTGCCCCGGGTGTCCTTCAGCTGTGCCTTCAGACTGAGGATCTCGCTGGCCTTAGTGTTCACCTCTATCTGGGACTCTTTGAGCTGTTGCTTCAGAAGAGAGATCTCACCTGACTTCTGACACACCTGCCAAGGGTGGGAGGAGAAAGGGTGAGACTTGGTGCCAGAGGTGATTGGCATCCTAACCAAGACAATATCTTCACTTCCTAAAGGGTTCAGGCGGCTCTTAACGGGTGTCTCGAACACAGTTCTTGTGCATGTAGACCATCTACTTTTCTTGCCTGCATTTTCCAAGTGCCTACCTCATTTCCAGTTCAGGCTCCACACCCCAGTCTGTGCCCAAACCCAAGCAAGGCTATATGCAACTCAATAATCAGTGGCTTACTCTGACCACTGCTCCCAACTCAATCACCCAACTTTAACCCCAGGGATCCCGGCTTGAGGATACAAATGCCCAAACCTCACACCTGCATGTACCCACCCCTGCACTCAACTCTGGGGTAAGACCAGTCCACCTTCATTTTACTAGTCTACCTGGCTTGGGTCACCAGGCTTCCTTTTTTGTGGGAGAGGTTTATGGTGGGGATCAAACCCAGGGCTTCATGCATACTAGGCAGGCACTTTTTTTTTTTTTTTAACTTTTTCTTTTCTTTCATGCTTTCTTTTTTAGTCGGAGGTGGGAGGAGGTGAGGAGGTATCTGAGAAAGGCTTGATATGTATAGGCTAGTGTATACCATCACTTCAAACCATACCATGACCCTAAATAACGCTTATGACCCCAACGAGCCAAGACTCCAGAAACACAGTCACTTGACTTTATTGTGCTCTTGGCCCAGCTTTTGTGGCCAAGGGGTGTTGAAGTGGTTGGAGAAGCCAGGAAAGGAGGAAGCCCACAGTTCATTGTTTGGCATGTGTACTGGACACTGCCTGTGGGCCAGGCTGGATGTACCTTTGGGGTGCAGCAGGACAAGTGACTGCCTAGTATGCATGAAGCCCTGGGTTTGATTCCCCACCATGAACCTCTCCCACAAAAAAAGGAAGCTTGGTGACCAAAGCCAAGTAGATTAGTAAAATGAAGGCCAGGGCTTGGCATTACAGAATGAACTCTTGGAACAAAACTAGAGGTTGCCACCCCTGAATTTCCCCCTTTCCTCTCCCAGTAAGGCTCCCGCTCTGTTCCCAAGTGAAATACTGACCACTTTAAAGGAGAACGCTTAGCCTCACCACCATGCACAGCTAGAGCCCAGAATTTCTTGATAAGGCCAAGTCCAGACCAGGCATGTCTCCCAAAGCCCACGTGTTAAAAGACTGGTTTCCAGTGTGGTAACACTGAGAGCTATTGGAACCTCTTAGAAGTAAGGCCTAGTGGAGGATGTTTAGTCATCGGTCCTTGAAGGGGACTGTGGGATCCTGGTCCCTTCTTTGTTCTCTTCTTTGCTTCCTGGCCATGAGGTGAAAGATGGCCACATGCCCCAACCATGATACACGTCATCCCTGGCCCAAAGCCAACAGTCTGTTTGCTAATGGATCATGAAATGAAACCTCTGATACTACAAAACTTTCCACTTTGTAAATTGCCTGTCTTATGCATTTTGTTATGATGACAAAACCAAACCAAACCAAACCAAACAAAACCCTGTAACCTACCAAGCCTATATTATATTAGCCTGAGGGAGGGAGTGAGGACAGTCACATAAAGTACAGGCTTTGAATCCTGCTTGGAACACTTATGTACCATGTGAAACTGGCACACATTTGCACCGGGGCAACACACAGTCCAAAGCATGAGCTCTGAGAATGGTTAAGGTGAAATGGCTCACGGCGTCAACGCATTTGTCTCCAACTCTCACGAGCCGAATTCTGTCCCTGGGATCCACGTGGTGAAAAGAACCAACTCTGGAAAGTTGACCTCTGATATCCACTTTGGGCTGTAGCATGTACATGCCCACCCCCCAAATAAATAATAAAAATGAGAATTTCCAGTCCACATTCTTTATTTTTGTTTTGTTTTTTGAGACAGGGTTTTTTGGTATAGCTTTGTAGCCTGTCTTGGAACTAGCTCTTTAGACCAGGCTGGTCATGAACTCACAGAGATCCATCTGCCTCTGGCTCCCAAGTGCTGGGATTAAAGGCACGTGCCACCACCACCCAACTCCAGTCCACATTCTTATAGTTAAATCCTAGCATTGATCTTTCATATGTATCAGATGTTAACCAAGTCACTTAGCCAGATATTTGTTATCGTTACTAATCTGTGTCAGTTTCCTAATTATAAATTGAAAAACTCTAACATACCTACTTCACAATATGGTTATAAGGATGAGATAGAACATGGTACTTCCTAAATTCCCTGTAAATTGAATGAGTTTATAGCAATATTTATGTCACCATTTATTACTTTTTTATTGTTTTGCTAAGTATCCTGACTAGCCAACGTAGGAACAAGATTGTTGCAATATTCAACTTAGTTCTAGACTGGACCATAAGGATGGGTGACAAAGGCCAACACTCACTTCTTATCTCTGAGATGTACAAAAGGTCCCTTTCTTCACCCTTCTTGTGACTACTTGTCACTTTACGAGGTGAGGACAGGAAGCTCCAGGCAGTCAGGGCCACACTGGTGAGCCATTCCAACCAGGCCTGATGCTAATCCATCCAAATAGAGCAACTGCTATCCTTCCATACATAGAATTTCAGAGTGATCAACAGCACTGATGTGCACACACCCCACTGCCTGTCTGCGCCATGAGGGCTGCTGGGGTGGGGGTGGGGAGGGTTGGGACTACTTTCCTACTAGCAGGATTCATGAGGGAATCTGACTGCTCTCCAACCAGGCCAGGCTCATATGGCTCATTCCAAAGAGACCGAAGGATTGAAGAAGTAGGCCCAGGATGGAATGCTTTCCTAGCAAATGTGAGGCCCTAGGTTTAATCTCCAGCGCACACACACACACACACACACACACACACACACACACACACACGAAACCCAAGACAAAAGAAAACAAAACTAGTCCCCAAAGTGTGACTGTGTGTCTGTTTGTCCTTTTTCTTCTTTCCCCAATGTTTAAATCTCAGTAGAACCTGAACTTATACCTCAGCAAGTAGGGTCAATTTCATCATGTATTACTTTCCACTCACGGCAGTGTTAGGGCCCCTTCCCGAAAAGCACCAAATAGACCAATTCCTTCTTTAGGATCCTCAGACCCAACAGACACGGGTGTGACTATGCTTCTGTCTAGTCTCCCATAAGTGAGGTCAGCCCTCAGGCAGCCTGGCTGAACCTCCCTTGTCTGGGTTTTGGCTTCCCACCAAAGTCTAGGCTAGTAAATTCAAAGGCTGGGGGCCATGAGGAGGAGAAGGGAAAGAGCAAGAAACACAGATCTGACTCAGAGCATCTTCCATGCTAGTTCATTTAGGAGTCCCTTCCTTAGTCAGAAAGCTGCCTCTTTAGCAGCATAGGCCAGGGCATTCGGTGTCGATACAGATGTGGTACCAAAGCCCTGGCAGGACTAGCGGAATCTTACCTCCCACTGGGTCTCCTCCAGTGCAGGGGCGAAGTTGGTCTTCTCCCGCTCGTAGGACCTCAGCTTGGTCTCCAGCAGATCCTGCTCCTTCATGAGGCTCTCGAGCTCCTGCCGTAGCTGCCGTTTCTCCTGCTGCAGCTGTAACACCTGCAGCTGGAGAACCTGCTGTGTGCGCTGGCTCTTCTGCGAAGCTGGCTTCAGCTTGCTCTTAGGTTCCAGGCACTCCAGTTCATCCCTGGTACGCCTCGGCCGCTCCTCAAAGGTCTGACCAGAGACAAACTCCTTCTCATCGAAACTGCGCTGTAGCTTCTGCAGTGCACTTTCCCTCTGCAGCAGCTTCTGCTCCAGCTCCTGGATGGTGCACTCGTCCGTGGAGAGTGGGGAACGCACGCAAGAGGAGCCCTTGTCTACCTTGCCTGGGTGAGCCAGCTTGCTGCCCCCATCAGAGAATGACAGGGCCTTTAGGCTCATCATATTACTGTCCTGAAGGATGATGCCTTGTGTGATGTTGTGGGCTGAACCCCCAAAACGGCTGGTAGGCCCCACGGGGGTGACCAGAGGATCCAGCTGGTAGCTGCTGGTGGTGCTATGTGTGGGCAGGCTAGACATGGAGTTCCGGCCTGAGTCAGACAGTGCCCCCGAGCACAGGCCTGGCTTCAGCTCCTGTTCCTTGGGTTTGTCTGGAGGCATGGGGTGAAGCTGGTGGCTGGCACTCTCTGGTGAAGAGTGGAGAATAGCTCCTGACCGAGGCAGCACAGGCTTGAAGGCAGTGGGCCTCACTGCCCCCTTGTCAGAGCTCTGGGGAAACAAAGGGCCACATAGACTTGAGTGTCCCTCCCACAGTTATCTCACCTTTGCTCACTGTGGGTGTGTATGTGCCATCCTCATGAGCCCACCTGAGCTAAGAGGACAAGTGACACCCTTCTTGCTTGGTAGCCATGGCAAACCTCGTCAGCTCTGGGTGGGCTGAGCGTAGAACACCTTTCTTGTGTACGTGTGAATATGTGTGTGTGCACACTCACTCAGAGGACAGCTTACAGCAGACCCTTCTCTCCTTCCTCCATGTGCAAGTCAGCTTGTCAGGCTGGGTGGCGAGCACTCAACTGCTGAGATATCTCACCCAGCCCAGCACACCATTCTGAGAAAGCTCTAAGGGAGCTGGAGGCAGTGGCCAAGAGCACTGGCTGCTCTTCCAGAGGTCCTAGATTCCATTCCCTACACTCACATGGTAACTCACAACTGTTTTGTAACTCTAGTTCCAGGGGATCTGAAAGCCTCTTCTGGCCTCTGTGGATACCAGGCACACATGTGGTACACATACATACATGCAGGTAAAGACCCATGTACATAAAAAAAAAATAAACAAAATCTTTGGAGAAGGAGGAGGAGGAGGAGGAGGGGGGAGGAGGAGGAGGGGGAGGAGGAAGAGGAGGAGGAGGACGTGGACATGAAGAGGGGAAAGAAAAATCTAGGCAAGGGGTAATTCGCCCTCTCCCCTTGCCACCCTGTCAAAGCCACCACTCTGACTTAAGGTCAAGCTTGATGGAACATGCCTTTAGTCATTAACTTGGGAGGCAGAGGCAGGCAGAATGTCTTCAGTGATGGCCCAGTCACTGTGCTGATAGCAGTCGCTCCCACTGGTCCCAGCACTCTGGGGTAGGTAGGGTAAGGTAGATGGGCATTGAGGTTTGGTGCAGCTAGGACGCAGGCTGTGTAAACACAGTACCCCCTTACCCTCCACCTCTTTCCACTAAGCCTGGCACAAGACTGAATCACTATTTCCAGTCCTAGCTGGAAGATCATTTGGAATAGAAGTCCTTTCTGAAACTTGCAGTTTCCCTCAGTGGAGGACTTTGCCTTTTGCCAGGTCTTTGTTTGGAAAGTTCTGTGCAAACAGGGGCATCTTTCTTATTCTAGCTTGAGAATCCCTGGTCCTAAAATCTCAGATCTGAAATGCTCCAAAATCTGCAAGGCTTTGAGTCCAGACAAGATGCCAAGAGTGGAAAAAAAATCAACACGCTAGGAGATTTTGGGTTAGTTTGTGCATAAATTATTTAAAACATTACATAATCATCTTCCACTTTTGTGTGCCTGGTATATATGATACATAAAAGAATGTTGTGCTTAGATATCTTATGTCCATGCAAATATTTCATAGTCTGAAAGACAACAACCCTGAAACCTCTGACACTCCTGTTCCCAAGCATTTCAGATAAGGGGTATTTAACCTGTGTTTGAAAGCCATTGGCTCTGCCAAGAGTGGGCATGGAGACTGAATAGGTGACTTGTTTTCAATGTGCACTAGTGAGGCTTATGAGATCCTGAGCTGTTGGAGTGGCTAGATTTCTAAACACCCAGGGCTCTTTGTGGGCATCCTTGCTCGTCTGACAACAAAATCCATGCAGTGAAGCCAGATACTTGCTCTGACAACAAAATCCCTTCTCCAGCCAAGGGGGCCAGAAACCAAACCACAGAAAGGGCAGGGACAGAGTGAGGATGCTCGCCTCCTAGAGGCCCCTAGAGAGAATCCGCATCCTTCTGTCCACTCTTCAGGGGGATAAGAGCCCCCCCTTCTTCCCCAGCCTGTGAACTTGCTGACATTTGGCCTATCTGAACCATCCAGGTTATGCCCCAGTGGAGCCTAGATTCTCTACCTCCCTTTGTTCCAGGGCAAACCTAAGACTTCCGGTTTAGGGGATAGACTTTTGATTTCTGCAGTGAAGCCAAATACTTCTGCTCTCACCCCAGCTGCTCTGGCCTCTTGGAGGACTAAATGCCTGGACCAGGGTTCCATCCCTACTACTTCTTATCCCGTTCCAACTCCCCCAAACACTTTGCCAAAGCACCCCACTTACCATTTCCAGCTGATTGGAGAAGGGCATGAGCTTAGGTGGGGTGGCTGGGTCAAAATCTACCCCAGCCTGTCCCCCCATATCCCCACTGGATAGGGCCGTGTAGTCTGGGCGGTGGGAGCCTCGGGCCTTCTGGCTGACCTTGATGTAGAAGAAGTCTTCACTTTTTCCCATTTTGGAGCTGGACTTGCCACGTCCTGAGTCCTGGGAGAAGCCAAATTTCAGCAGCCCATCCGAGTACCGGTTGAGCTTCTTTAGGTGGGAGGATTTGCGAAGCTTGTACTGCGAGGCCCGGCAATGCTTGCTGTGGAAGCTGTGGCCTGAGATGAGGCTGCTGACACTGCCCATGGTGACACGTGGCCAAGGGCCTGTGGGCTAGAACAGGGGCCTGGTGACACGGTAGCAGCAAATTGTAGTCCTGGCTCAGCCAGGGAACTATGGTCAGAGCAAAATCCTCTCAGAGCATGGGAGAGCCATAGACCTGGGAAGACACAGAGAGATCATAAGTCTAGGCATAGCACCATCACGATGATCTCTGGAGGGTAGAAAAATGTACTTCAGTCAGATGGTAGCATGGCCTCTTCATGAGTGTTTCTATCATTCTGATGATACGAGTGAGGTGGCATCCAGTGGAAGCTGAAGCACTGCTCATGGTCATGGGACCCATATGTAATGTCATATAGACAGACAGCCAATAGCTAATCTACAGGACCCTCACTATGCTAAGGAGAAGTCAGGATGTTCATGTCGGGGGACGGGAACCCATAGAGTTCTGTATGCCCAGGGAGTACTGAGGTTTAGATGCATCCCTCAGTATTTCTATTTTGGAAAATCAGTCTCCAATGCCATATGTTCATGGTATTTGGGAATGGGATTTGAACTCAGTAGGATTAGATGAGATCATGATGCGGGGAGACTAACGAGGGCATCAGTGGCTCTGTAAGAGGAAGTAAATCCAGGTGTGATGGCACACGCCTATAAGCCCAGCACTTAGAAGGTAGAGGCAGGAGGATGGAGAATTCAAGGCTAGCCTGGGCTGCATGTTAAATTAAAGACAGAAAAGGCCTGGGCTACATCATAGTACGAACCCTCTTTTAAGAAAAGGAGGAAGAGGAGGAGGAGCAGAAGAGAGACACAACTGGACACTTGCTCTATCTGGAAATATGCTGCTCTGCACAACCCCTCCCCCAGGGGCAGGGGAGCAGCTAAAGAGCATTCTTCTTCACAGCAAGGACTCAAGCAGATGTGAATGCGCTGCCCTTCCTGAACTTCTTAGGCTTCAGAATTGTGCGCTGAATGTGCCTATATTCTTTATGAGTTATTCTGTTTATGGCCTTCTGTCATAGCAACAGTGATGTTGTCAGTCTTGCATTAGAGGAGATCTGGAGAAACTGAGAAGCAGGCCATGGGAATCCGGGAAGGACAAAGCTTCAAGAAGCTGCAAGTACAAAAGCCCTGAGAGCCCGAGGCAGAGTGTGCTCCTGGGGACCAGCTGGGACACCATCCTGACTGGAAAGCCACTGGGTTGTCAAGGTCAACTGGAGAAGCAGCAGCAGCAGGCAGAGAGCCTGCAGGTAGGTCCAGGGAGCAGGGAGCTTAGGCAACTGCAAGGATTTTAGCTTGACTGAGACAGGAAGGAGTGTCAGCAAGGGACAACTTCATTTCCTGTGAAGCTTGAAGGCCTCTGTGGCAGCTGGGTAAAGGGGCCACAGAGGGGCTCAGCTGTTAGTGGCTGATTCATTTGGGCAGGAATTAGTTGGGAACTGTTTTAGATGTACTTTCAAGGCTGGTCTGATAGGATTTACAGAAGGATTTGGTAAAGTGAGTGAGAGAAAGAGAAGACAAGAAGGGCTGGGGGGTGGGGGGAGTCTGGGAGGATGGAGGGCTGGAGGATGTAGCTTGCTGGAAACATGACTGTCCAGGCAACAGAGATGATATTCTAGAGAGACTCTGAAACAAAGGATCTTAAAGAATTAACGCTTTCCTAGGAATCTTGAGGGGTGAAACCTGAGGCCCTCCTTGACAGCCAGAGGTCGGTGTTGCCTCTCAGGAGATTTCCCACAGTTCTGACAACTTATGCGAGACCCTGCAGGAGAGACTGAGTCCATGATGGACAGGACTACATCCTACTGGGACTGCTGAATTTTGTATACCCCTAGCTCTCAAGAGAACCCTTAGTATGCACTTGAGTGTACAAGCGCTCACACACACACACACACACACACACACACACACACACACACAAAGAAGAAATAGAGAAAAGGCAAATAAATAGCTTTGAGAATTAACTTTTAGAATGTTAATATTTTTATGGAGCAACCAGAAGCAGTGATTTGTCACACATAGGCTGAGCAAACTGTGTTGAGCTGAGCAACTGTGTTGAGCTGAGAACAGGGGTTTGGTTTAAGACTGTAAGTCTGTGAAAGCTGTCGGGTACCTGGACTTGATGGAGGAGGCTGTAGGCAGTGAGGGAGGCACTGGAGCTTCAAATTTATCACCTGAATCATCCTCATTATCATCATCTTCACTACCACTATATTTCTTATTCTTATTCTTATTCTTATTCTTATTCTTATTCTTATTCTTATTCTTATTCTTATTCTTATTCTTATTCTTATTCTTATTCTTATTCTTATTCTAGACAGGGTTTTTCTGTGTAGCCCTGGCTGTCCTGGAACTCATTCTGTAGACCACGCTGGCCTTGAACTCATGGAGTTCCTGGCTCTGCCTCCTGAGTGCTGGGACTAAAGGTGTGCGCCACCCACCACCTGCAGCTTGGAGCTGCAGATTTATAGGTAAAAGATGTTAGTGTGTAGAGACTGCTAATAAAGGAGCTGCAAGGGCAGAAAGACAAGTCTGAGGGTGGCTTCAGAGAGCCAGCTAGGGAAGCAGGAAGGAAGGTGAGAGGCAGAGGCTGTCCACATACAGGAGGCCTTTTGCTCAAAAGGCTCTGCTGCATTCTGTCTTCTGTGTGGGTTCTTGGGATCAAACTCGAGCCCTCAGGCTTGATAGCAAGTGCCTTTACCCAGGGAGCCATCTTGCTGTTCCCATTTCACCTCTTGGGCAGGTGGTCCCTTCTTTCTTGCACACCAAGTGTACATTGTGAGGGTTATGCATGCCGTGATATAAGGCCAGACTACTGGCTTTGGCTGAGAAAAATTTCAATATGAAAACCACCTTCTCTGTTCATTTTTTTATTTTTTTATTATTTATTTTTATTATTATTATTACAATAAAATATTTCTTGTTCTTAGGGTTTTCCTATGTAGCTGTGGCTGGCTTGATACTAGAGATGGCCCAGACTGTCCTCAAGCTTAAGTCAATCCTCCTGCCTCATTCTCCCAAGGGCTGAGATTATAGGAGAACCAGCACACCCGGCTGAAATGCCCACCCTTAAATAGTAACTGTAGGAAGATGAAGCAAGCTTCTGATGCTCAGCACAGGACGTGCCCCTACAGATGTGTCTAGGATAAACAGAAGCCTATCACAGAATGGAGCCTTCAAAAGCCAGTGACAGATGAAGTGTAACTATAATATGGGGCATGTGTGTTTTAAGTTTGAATGTTAATGATTTCCCACAAGCTTGTGTGTTTGAATACTTGGTCCCCAGCTGGTGGCACTGCTTTGGGAAATTGTGAAGCCTTTTGGACTGGGATCTTAACAGGCAGGCATAGGGCCACGTGAGTAAGCAAGCGGGTTACATAGCCAGTTCCAGTGTTGTCTGGAGTACTCTGTTTTCTGATTCATCAAGATGTGCGTGGCAGAGCTGCCGAGGTAGCTCCATGGATAAAGTGTTTGCCACTCAAGTGGGAGGCCTGGAATTCAGACTCCCAGAACCCACGTCAGTACAGGGCAGGCATGGCAACCCACCTGAAATTCCAGTGCTCACAAGGACCCTCAGAGCAGCCTGGCTAGCACTGACAAGTCCAAGCTTCAAGTTAGAGACCTTGTTTCAGGACAGAGAGGTAGAGAGCTTGGATTCAATATAGAGAAGGATGCTTGACATCAACTTCTGGCCTCCATATGCATATGGACACATGGACATCTATATACGTGTGTGCACATACAGGTGAACACACTTAACTAGGGCATATATACACACATACAAACAAAACAAACAAACAAACAAAGAAGTGAAGAGCCCCAACTGCATACTTTGGCCACCATGCTTTTTCTGCCTTGATAGGCTGTGACCCTCTCAAACTCTGAGGTGAAATCAACCTTCCTCCCCTCCTGCAGGTTGCTTCTGTCAGATATTCTAGTGCAGCAACAAGGAAGGTAAGTGATAAACATACTAAACAAATCTCTGCTATGGCTGCCACCTCCTCTCGCCTGGCTCTTGAGTCAAAGGTGAGATGGCCAATCAATGCCTTCCCCATTTGCTTATTACACACATTGCAAACACTGTGTGTCTACAATACAAACCCTTTCAGGCTTCCCATCACTCTCATAGTAAAACTCCACATGCTCCATCCTTTCCTGACATCCACAGTCACAGCCATGCTGCTTCTCTCTGTGCACTGAGCACAAGAGGTGTTGTCCACTTAGGACATGCCCATCTGCGGTTGGCTTCATGTAAGTCCTCTCCTCCTTCGCTCTCAGCTCACCTCCTGTTACCCTAGACAAGGGCAGTTCCTCCACTGCTTTCTATAACCAACACACTCATTTTCCATCTAATAATTCCTTTAGCTATAATACTGTTATTTTCAAATGTAGTTTATTGCACATATCTCCACAAGAATTTGAATTTGTATCTGTGGCTCCCAGAACAAAACTGAAGAAAATTAGTCAGCAGCTCAGAGAGCTGCTATAATGCTCTGGCCTTAGTCAGCTCACCACAGAGCAATGGGGGCCTTGAACTTAGATCTGCACATCACCATGGATCTGTTAGATAAACAGATCCATGCTAGCACATGCCATTGGGGCTGTAGACTCAGAGATGTTTAGCTCTTGTCCCAATGATCAAAGGGAGTCTCCAGGTTTGAGAGAGAACCTAGAGGAGAAAACAAGGCCTGGAGCCTCCAGCCACACCTTCATTTCCTTTAAGTACAAATACCAGGAAGGTTCCAGGAGCCCTGAGTGGCAGCCTGGGTGACTTGCTATGCACAAGTTTCATGCTGGGTGCTCAGAATTGAGAGAAAACAAAGAGCATTAGGAGTAAAGGGAGGGGTCGACAAAGGAAAGGAGAGACACCTCTGTCCCAAGGAGAGCATTCCTGTCCCTTAGTCCATACATCCCCGGGGTCTTAATATTCAGGGATCTGAAAAGTTCAAGGTTTCTCTGGGATCCACTTGAAACCAAGCTCATTACTTAAGTGTCCAGACTTGTTTTACCATCAACTCAGAGCA